TTACCAATTCATTATAATAATACTATTTAATTATTAAAGATCAAATTATAACTATTAATAAAGTATAAATATCTAGTTAGAAAAAATAAGAAGAATAAGTTAAAGAAAGATAATATAATTTGTTATTTATTAGTTAATAGTAAATAAGAAGAATTATCAAATTTAAGATAAAAAAAATAACTAATTCAATATGAAATTTTTTATTATATAAAATCTGTAAAATTATAATAATAAAGAATAAATTAATATTATATTATCTTGAAAGTAATAAACTTATACTAAAATAAAGATTTATAAAAGAAGAATTGATACTTATAAATATAAATATCTTGTAATATCTATCTTAGCATATATTAGAAGAAAATACTCATTTCAGATCTATTAATTTTATTTATATTATTAATAAAATAACTAAGATTAAGAGTATATAAAGAAGTATAATAGAAAATATCTTGATAAAATTGATCAAATAAATAATTTTGATATATATTTCTGATCTTATAAAATAAAATATCAATAGAAATATTTATATCTATTAATAATTATAAAATTTAAATAGTATTTACTTTATTTCTATCATATTAATAAGTATTATTATAAATTTATTTTTAAAGATCTATTAAATAAGAAATTTTCATCTTATAAATAATTATTTTTAAATAAGATATAATTAGATAGATATAATAAAGAATTAAAATTAGTATTTGAATTTTAAAAATCTTAATATTTTTCTAATTTAGATAAGCAAAGAAAGTATGATAAAAAAAAGTTGGATATATATATTTAAGAAGAAATTATATTAGTTATTATACTGTATAGTTATAATTTGTTTTTCTATATTTATATTATATTAATTAAAAAAGATTATTTATCAAATACAAATAACTTATCAAAATAAAAATTACAGAATATATATATATTTTTAATATAACTATAAAATAATAATTAGTATTTTTAATTTATTTGGAATAAAAGAAAAAAATATATCTATATTTATATATATTATTGACAAAATATCTAAAAAAATCTCAGAATGAATAAAAGATAATAAATTTAGTTTAGAGAATCTATTTAGATTATTAATATATAAAGATTCTAATAATAAAAAATAAATATGATTATTAATCTTATGCTAAATAAAAAATTCTAATATATATTTAATAGGAAAAAAAATAATCAGTATATTAAGAATAATAATTTAATATTAATAAAAAAGTATTCTGAATTAAAATAGGAATTAGTAAAAAATATATATTAAATTTTTATAAATATCTCAAAGTTATATAAAGAAGAAAATAATAATATCAAATAAAATCTTTGATATAACTAAATTTTTATTAAAAAAAGTATAGTTATTATTTTTAAAGATTTATATATTGAATCAAAGAAAATATAAAAATAAATTATTTTTTACTTTATTAGTAATCAGCATTAAAATATTTCATCTATATATATAAGCCAGAAATATATATAAACTTCTAAAATAATTCATGAAAATCTAAGCCATCTTGTACTATTTCAAGAGATAAAAAGTCAAGATAATATTCATAAAATTATATGATAATATACAGATAATTTAAAAAAAGTATCTAAGATTATTAATAAGTATTTGCAAGATCAAGAATTTATGATTTTTAATTTTACTAAGATAATAAATAATTCTTTAAGTATATAGCTTGATTAAAATATTTTATTAAAATTAGATGAGTAAATTAAAACTTAATATTTAATAATAATTATTTTTTTATTATTTATTAGTATATTAATATTATACATCTATCTACTACTTTTTATATTTTTGAAAAGTTAATTGATTCTGCTAATTTAAAGTTAGAGTGATAGTTTTAATATTTATTTACTATTGTTCTCAAATAAAATAGTTATCAGTATTCAGCCTGTAATTTTATGTTAAAAATATATCTTATATATTAAAAGTAATAATTTATTATAATAAAAAAATTATCTTTAAATAATACTTAAATAACTACTAAAAAATAAAATAGAAAATATTTTTTCATTTAATATATTAATGTTAAAAGTCTCTTGGAATAGAAATATAAAAAAAGAATATACTTAGTTAATATTTCTTAATTATATAAAAGATTATAGTAATATTACAAACTATATTCATGAAGATAGATTTTATCAGAAATATAATTTATAATAAGTTTTGAAAATGAAAACTAAATTATTTATAAAGATAAAGGGAATTATAATTATTTTAAAGATTTTTAGTATTAATACTAATGAGTATTTTATTAATACAAGACAAAAACAAAATAAAATAAAGAGAAATTATAATCATGAAAACTAAACTTAAAGTAGATATCAAAAATTAGATAATAAATATTATAACTAAAATAAAAGATATAATATACTAACTAAACTTTCTAATAATATCTTTTTAACTGTTAGACAAATAAAAGATATATCAAAAATAAAATAAAGTTTTTATATGTAAGAAAACTTATAAGAATCTTTATAAATTAAATAAAATATACTTGGCTTATTTTAAGTGAAAAACATCTATTACCTATATTTTTCAGGCAAGAAAAATATGTGATTAATCAAAATATAATCTATTATAATAGAAAAGATAATTAAAAGCAAAATATTAAGATAAAAATTAAAGTAAAATTATAAGATAAGTATAATTCAAGTATTTTCAAAGATAATTGAATTATTGCTATTCAAGTATATTTATTTCATGTTCAAGAGTAAAAATATTTATATATATTTAAGATTTTACAAATTCTATTTAAATTCTACTTATAACTTATTTGCTATTCTAATATACAATTACAAGTTTTAAGACAAAAAATTAATAAATAAACAAATAAAATATATATGATAAGCTAAATAATAATATAAATAATAAAATAAAATGAAAAAATAAGATAAATATTTTAAAAAGAAAAATATAATAAAGAAAATAAATAATATTTATTTTAAATTATTTCTAAAGTATTTATAAATTATTAATGAACTATTTGTAAATTATTATTAACTTTTAAGTTATTTATATAATTATAATCTTAAAATATTACTAAAATATTATAAAAATATTATTAAACTATAACTAAATTCATAATTAATACATCAATTAAATTATTCAAAATCACATGCTTTCTAAAAATTAACTGATTAGCCAAAAATTTCAAGTTCAAAAAATTATAAAATTAAAGAAATTTATATTACTATAATAATATTTAAATTCTCTAAGTAAGATCAAGCTCTAGTAAAACTGATTAAATTCTTTTTAAAATTTCTTTAATTTTATCATTTCTTATATATACAAGATCATTATAAGTGATTTATTAAAAATTATAAGTCTTTTCAAGTTTATATTTTGATAATAACTGGTAAATTCATTTTTCAAGAAGAAAATATCTTCTAATTGAAATTAGTTCTTTTAATTGAGCTAATTTTCTTGATATTTCTTTTAGTAATTATTCAAAGTAATAATATCTAATAAATTATAATTCATTAGATTAATTATCATGATTTTCAAAAAAATCATTAAAAATTATTTGAACTCTTGTCTTTTAGCTTTAATCAGATTAAAATTGATAAGTAATATTAGCTATAATTACTATTCTTAATACTTTAGTATTAATAATATTTACAAATTATTTTACTTTTGTTTTATTTTATAATTTATCTATTTAAGTTAGAATTTCTTCTGCAATTGATTCTAATTCTTGAGATATTTTTAGAACTATATTGGAATTAAGTTATCTTTCAGTAATAAGATTATAAATAACTTTCTAATTACTATCTTCAAATATTAATTGATCTTTATTATTTTTTAATTATTGGTAAAGTGCTAAAATATTTTAAATAAAATTAAAATTATTAAGAAGAGTATTTATCTTAAAAGAGTTAAATACTAATAAGTAATTAAGTTAAATTATAATATTAAAATAATAAAAAGTGATAAAAATTTAAAGAAAATATTAAAGTAAAAGTTTTATATTTATAAAATAAAATTTTTAATAAATGATCAATATATATATACACTACCTGGACAAAAGTCTTGCATATCGAAAATTTTTAATTACATAAAATTGCACATAATAATTACATTTCAAATTTTAACAGTTTATACTTTAACTAATGAAGTAACTATGTATAATCAATATTTAGTAGGCCAGCTATTGCTTGTAATAACTGCTTCTATTCTTCATGGCATACTTTCTATCAAGCTGATTATTTGATTCATCAAAATTTTACCTCATTCTTCTTGTAATGCAGTTTCTAATTCTGTAATGTTTTTTATGGCTTGTGGTTGCTTTTTTATTTGTCTTCCCAGCTCTGATCATAAATGCTCAATTGGATTTAAGTCAGAAGATTGGCTTGGCCAATCTGATAAAACATTAACTTTGTTTGTAAGCATCCACTGCTTGATATCCTTTACAGTATGGACTGGAATATTATCATTCTGAAACAGATATCCCTTGCTATTGAATTCCTTATTTATCAAAGGCAGTAAATGTTTTTTCAGTATCTGTATATAATCTAGTCTATTCATTTTATCCTCCACCTTTACCAATGGACCCAATCCTTTACCTGAAAAACACCCCCATACTATTAGTCCTCCATCTCCAAATTTTATAGTTGGAACCATATTTGTAATATTAAACCTAGTGTCAAAAGTTCTCCAAATGTGGCCTGGTTCATCATTAGCAAATATTATAAATCTACTTTCATCACTCCAGATGACAGACTTCCATTTTTAAACAGTCCAGTTTCTTTTTTGAATGCACCATCTTAGATACTGTTCTCTTTGCTGATCACTAAGAAGAGATTTATGAGCTGATATATGAGAAAAAATCTGCATTTTGTGCAAATTTCTTCTAATAGTTTTTGTGAAAACTTCAATATTAGTTTTTTCAACAAATTTGTTTTTAATTACTTTAGCTGATTTCTTATTATTGTTTTTAACAATAGTCTTTAGAATTTTTTTAACTTTCATTGGTCAATAATTTCAGATATCCAGATTAGGGACAGGTAGCAAGGTCATCTCCATTAAGATACTTAGCAATAGTACAAGTAACAGTTGCTCTATGAACTTTGAGCACTCTACTAATTTTTGGTACTGATTGTTTATTTTTGTAAAGGCTAATAATTTCATCTTGTTGACTTTCAGTTAAGGGATGTATTTTAAAATTAATAAAGATTAGAAGTGTTTGCAGATTTATTTATATATCCTGATGTGTGTTTACAAATAACATAAAAATTATATACGTATTTGTTCAAAACCAAAATAACATTATATTAAATTTTGAAATATAATTATTATGTGTAATTTTGTATAATTAAAATTTTTCGGTATGCAAGACTTTTGTCCAGGTAGTGTATATATATATATATATATATATTACTAAATAAAATTTATGTAAAATTAAGAAATAAATAAATAAATATCATGAAACTAAAAATCTAATTTTTATTTTTTTCTTTTATTATTAGTATTTCTATATATTTAATAATTATTTTTAACTCAAAGTAGTTATTTTTTTTATGATAAGATTTCAGTTGAGTACTATTAAAAGTTTTATATAATAGTTAGTCATATTAATTTTGTAATTTATAAGTTTTATTATTAAGAGTTTCATAAATATAGAATTATTCTATACTCTATTATAATTAAAATTTATTTTTATAAGTATATATTATTTTATATTATATATCAAAACTTTATTATTAATTTCAAATTATATAATTCTCTGTAATTTTAAATCATATCATTCTTTTATTTGTTATTATTATTTTTTGATTTGATTTTATATTGTATTGATATCATTTAATAAATAATAAATTAAAGAAAATATTTAATCTAATATTTTATTTTTTTATTTTTATTATCTTCTATTAGTGATAAATATTTTAAATTAATAAGTAATCATATATTTTTTCTATATGTCAAGAAGAATAGTTTATATTTAATAGTATTATTTTGAAGTGTTCTGTATATAAATAATATTGATGATATTATTACAAACTATACTCTAGAAGGTAGGTTTTATCACAAATATAGTTTATAATAAGTTTTGAGGGTGAAGACTGAATTATTTATAAAGGTTAAGGGGATAACAATTATTCTAAAGATTTCCTAGTGCTAATACTTATGAGTATTATATCAACACAAGGCAAAAATAAAATAAAATAGAATTATAAAATGAAGTTATGATCACAAGTACTAAACT